TAACGCCCTTTTTACACTGGCACGGAATTTATGTCTTCTTCCTGCGCGTCCTTTTCTCCGACGATCCAGCCCCATCCGCGCGCGCTCTTCTTTTCCTTCTTCTAGCTCCGATCTACATTTTCTCCGGCTCTACCTGTCCCCTACCTCCTTTAACCAACGCGTTCGCAACTCGCCGTTCTCCTGCTTTATCTCGCGTCAACCGAGCCCAACCGTCCTCTTCCTTCTCCGCAGAGTCCTTCGTCCTGTTGGTCCTCCTCCTCGACGATCCCACCGGCTAAGAAGAAGACAATCAATCACGCGCGCGTATCTCCACGTTTGCAGAATCAATCGGAAATCTCTATTAGGCGTCGACTTGGCTCGCTGGGACCTTTTTTACGCTGCAACGTTCCGTTACCAGCCGATCGATCGACCCGCGGTCCCGATAACGCGCGCCATTGTTGGTGTTACAAGTTGTTCGTGGCGGTTTGCCGTCCGGCTCCGGGCAAGACACAGCCTCGCTTCCACGTAGATCGCTTCCGATCTTCGCCACAGGAAGTTATTGCCGACTTCGCCGAAACTAATTAACGCGTTGACTGCAGGAACAGTAGCCCGAACTTTCCACAGACTCGGAGGGTTTTTTTGGACCTTCTGGCGCACGAGTTGCGGGACCCGCGAAGAAAATTGTTTGCTGGTCTTCCGCGACTTTCTGCGTTTGCTCGGCAATCTGAATAAATTTCTGTTCTAAGTGCACTCCGCTTTATGCAGCAGTGAAAAAGATTTATTATTACTGGTTTATGCCAATTTTGTGGTTCCGAATGACTTTTTTCCTCTGTCGGAGTTCAACTTCGAGGATTCTCTTTGTTCAGACTGCGAAAGCTGTGATTATGATTCTTACGTATAATAAATGTGTAGATTTTACCAAGTGCAAGAACGTATTTTCATATATTGTTGCGAACCCTTAAATTTGTTTAATCGATGTTCGAGAGAACTACAAGTTTCGAAATATTGAATATAATAAAGTGCCATTCGCATTTGAGACAACAACTTTGCTAAAACCTTCGTCAAAAACTCAAGTGATGGAAACTACAACTCAATATTCCATCACCTAAAAATTAAAAAAATTATAGCTTTCGAAAATTTAATTTCTTTATCACTCACGCGGGACGAATAAGTAAACAATCGCAAGATAGGAGAAAAATCTAAGCTATCGAATTATTATGCGGGAAAATATCGCAATTAAAATCGCACGAACTTATGAACCGACCGAATAGTTTTAGTACGACGGAATAGCAAACAGCAAAACATTTCCGTAACCACGATTAAGAGTAGATAATACTACAAGTGTTCCAAGTGAGAGATTCAGAGAAACCAACGCTCTCCGGTTATACTACTGTAATCCTGAATATCGCGTTTGCCAAACAGAGAACGCATAAAAATACGCGTGAACGTACGTAGTCTTTGTCGAGCGTGCGGCCAAAACGACAGTTTATTAATTGACGGATTAGTAGCGGGTTTTCAGCCGCAAAGTCGACAGAGGCAACGAAGGGTGGGTGGCACGTTCGAAAGAAAAACGGACGCGTTTTCCCGGCGAACGAGCAAAAACAATGAGCAATCGGTCGTCCGGGGGTTATATTCCGCCTCCGGTTCCGTTTTTCAGTGCATTTCTATTTATCGGTATCCTGGGACACGTCGGTGTAAGAGGGATGAGGGGAAAAAACGGACAGCGGAGTGGCGTGAACAGCGACGCGCGGAGGAGCAAAGGGAAATGCGTCCGAAAACAAGCAAAGGGGGAAAAACCGTATTATCACAGTCGAAATGTTAAACGGAGAACGGAATCGACGGCGTGAGGGGCGGCGGGGGGCAGGACGCCACCGGTGGAGGGAGATGGAAAAGCCACACACGACAAAGGGTCGCGAATAGACGAGCTCGATTGAACGGCAATTTCAATCAGGCCCAAATGCGCGGAAAACACGATACACCGCGTGTTCCGTTACTTGTGTGGCTCAGCACACGAAGAATTGCGTTTTCTAACCGGCTTAGTATCGTCCGCAGACACAGCCGATCGCGGAGTCGGACGGACAGAGTACTGTAAAATAAATAGGCTCGCTTGTCATTGGAATCCTTCATGTGTGTCCGCGCGTTCCACAATGAATCGACAAAGAATTTAATCCGATCCGTGCACCTGAAGCTACTCCGGTCGCTTTTGTCCGTGCCGGCGTGATATTTGTCGATGCACACGATGATAGGAGAAAAACACAGATTGTAAGCGATCGTTTGTTTTCGCAACAAATTATTTTTAATTATGCTGATCGAATTGGACGGACTTTTCCTTCCAATTTCACGCTGACGAAACGGGCCTGCTGTTTTCAACTGTATGCTGCTTCTTGGCGAGGAATATAGCGACGTTTTGGTTCGCAGTTCTTAAAACATTTAATTTATATGTTGATGTTTTTTTTATAAGGGCGAATTTTTACATAATTGTGATGTATGAAGAACACAAAATATTTAATAAAATGTACAAACCAATTTTTCTGCGAGTTACTGTGCCCTCAAAAAGATGAAATGTTAATCTGTGTGTGACAATTATTCATCTTTTTTATTCTTCACTGATCTAATTACTGTGCTTCGATTACTGTGATTAATTCTAGGTAAATAATAACAAAAATGTAAAAACGTGAAATATTCCTTACTAAATTATTTAACATAATTTATTATACATATTTCAATACTTTATTATTCGAACAAGGAAAGAATACGCGCATTTCACCGATCAAGAAAGTAAGGTTCGAAGTAACACGTGGTTCGCCAGGAGAGTTTGCTCGGTAATCGACGCCCGCATCGAAAAAGACATGAAAATTAAAACAGTTACAGTGCATAGATCTTATATAAAAAATGTAGTTTTTAAATATAAATAAAATCATTGTATAGGCACAGTAACCATGAGGTAGCACAATAATTTACCCTAATTGTCGAGCAATCTGGAAAATTATGGAATTTATATTGATTCTACAATATGATAGTTGAACAGTTTTTGGAAAATCAGAAAATTAATTTACTTATTTGTAGTACCCAAACGAAGTTTAAAGACTATTATTTCGTGTTGAGAGTTAACTAATTTTAGTCAACTTTGTCCTTCATAATCATACAAAAATCGTGTCCTGATTTCTGCTTCTAATAAAGCTTCTTCTAATACAGCTTCTAATAAAGCTTCTAATAAAAAGTGAATACAACATTTCTGTGTCAACTTGAAATTAATTTGTTACTGTCTTTTGAACGCCCGCATTCTGAGCATCAAAGGTGAACTGTTTAATAGCTGTGGACATAGGTCATAAAGCTAAGGAAATGTTGCGGTTAACTGCAAGGACTTTCCTTTGATAACGCAGTTTCTGACGGCCAATTTCGTAACCCTTCATTCCCATGTACGACGCGATGGGTGCTGGTTGTAACCTTGCTAGATGACAGCCTATCAAACGAGCCATGAAAGATTATTCGCCACGTCGCCGACCTTTTCGACTATATCAATATTTATGTGCGAACTTAGGAACATATTGAACGCGAAATTCAACATTCGACTGATCACGTATGCGGCGTAAAATGTATGACGAGGTGTACTAAACTGAAATATTATATTTTGGACCGAACTTTGAAGTCTCTTCAAATATTTTACGAAGCATTATATGCACATTGATTCCTGAAACTGTTGCAATGGTTTGGCCGCTTGGGTTTAACAGAGAATATTACAAAGGGCAGGGTTCTCAGGTCAACAACCACTGTTGTCTTATTGAACAGAGGGTTTCAATGTTTATGAAACGATTTCGAAATCGTTTCTAAAACCAATTTGAGGCAGAACTATTTCAGTCACTTTTTATGTTTCACATTTTAACAATTTTCATTTAATAGATAATAGATTTCAATTAATAGATAACCTAATTAATAGATAAATTTTAATTCGATTGAATAAAAATTTATCGAATTAGTTGAATTAAATTTTATTTATTAGTCTTTGTCTTTTATCCGTCATCCGAATAATTTGCTGAAATTGATCCTTCTTTCTTCGAAAGAAAAATCTATTTCGACAAAGAATTCTGTTTAACAAACTGAATATAAGGTAGCAACAAAAAGAACTTTCATTTGGATAAATAAAGCCAATAGAATAGTTAAAAAATGCAATCAGAATCTCATTCTTTAGAAAAATGTTGTTAAGACTATGTGTGACCAAAGAAATGAGACAAGGTCCATGCTTAATCAGACAAGTGGAATAAGTCAACAATTAATCAGACACGTAGAACAGTCACGTCTCCGATCGGCCTAGCAGAAACCAGACAACCAATTGTCTGAGTTGGGCAAAATTTTATTCGGATGACGATAAGAGATAAAAACTAAGGAATAACATTTTAACATTACGATAACAATATATCCGAATAAGAATTTATTCCTATAAGAATCCATTCAAAATATAATCGATTTCAATGAAAATTATAGAATAAAAAATGTTTTTCATAGTTTATTGATTAACTTCCTTACTTACCTATAATATGATTTTCCTTTCCGATTTGAATGGGAAAATCGGTTATAGAATTTTTTATTTTAAATAGCTCCGTTTTTATAAAAAACTGTCTCTCTCGCAACGAATGATTTAGTCGAATAAAGAATAAAGGATTATTTAAATTCATAGAATAATTCGTTTCGAATAACGCGAGTAATTGTAATAAAATATTCGTCTTAAAGAAATTTTTGTGGATAATTATTTAAGACAAATGTTTATTGACAATTTGTTCACTGATTTGTTCTTTATCAAAATCTAAATTCGTCCATCAACGGACATCAGCGAATAACCGAGAATTTTGCGGGACAAAAGAAACTGGGCTCGCTTCGAGTGCAGAGAACGTTCCAGATTTCTCGCAGCTTCGTGCCACGGTTTCCTCATGAAACACTTGCATCGAGTATTTCGTCTCTTAATGACCCGCTTTAGACACGACTGTTTAAACTCATTTTCTAACCGTTCTGTGTTTCTTTTCCAGGTCAAGTGGATCTTTGGACAGAAACGACGACAGGCTGCGCCTGCAGTTTTAATTCGTCCAGCAAAGAATGCGCGTGTTGCGTCCCGACCGGAGGATGCAGCTGTGGTGCAGCGTTGCCGGACAGATGCGGTCAGTGCGGGCTGGAGGAACACTGCGCCAACAGTAAGCATTATCGTTACCTTCCATCAGCATTCATCTTAATATTCATCGGGTCAAACTAATGCTGAACGCGTGTACACGCTTGCGCAGACAATGACCGTCACGGATACGCTGGAACGAACTTTTCCAGTTTCGAATACTGTCACGGCAGACATTGTGCATTTGTGATACACTTGTGCTCGTAAAATGCAAAGAAACAAGGATGTTGACAACAATTGATTTCATTCATCGCGAGAAATCCTCGGAAAAAATCTTGATCTGATTTTTCTAAAATTCGCGAGAAAGATTTCGGAACAGCAGAAATGTTTGCGCGAACACTGGTTGAATTTGTGGCGGGGAGTAAACAGTTGTTAGAAAGTTCCCGTACGATTTTCACGGAACTTCGGAGATTTGTAAAAGAGCCAGAAACAGGGAATACATTTTTTTATTGGCGAAGACTCAAGCTTAAAGGGCGAAACCATTCTCCGCGAATTAGCGCTTCCATCGTCACCTCGGAAACTATCGAAGTTTAAATGACCAAGTAATATGGTTTCTCCGCGTATAATGTCGTGTCAAAGGCAGTCTCTTAGAAACTTAAATTCAAATAACTTATATTATATTCCTCTCCTTTGACGGGGCGGTAGCTAAAAGTGATGCGCACTTAATTCTACGTGCGACATTGTGTATATAATAATATAATATATAACATATAATATATATTACCGAATATTACTACCAAATATGCAGCACAGTTATTATTGAACACAATGATTTCACACAAAATGGGATGATATGAAATAAAAAATTACAAGTGCAAACATACATACCATGAATTTAATTTATTATATTTAAATTTTATGTATTAGACATGTATGTAAATTTATAAAAGTTAACAAGAGAAGTAATAAATTCTATTTTTACTGTAATTCCTGGTTGTAACACTTTAATTTAATGAAAATAGCTGTTCGCTGTGGCATTCATTCATCGTTGGATACTTCGCTGCATTCCACGACTATAATAGAGAAAAACGGCTAGTTCGAAAAAACAGGTAACACGAATTTCAGAAAAAAAATCCCGTCGTGTAATTTCACGATCAAAGCAATAAGTACTGCGGCAAGCGAAAGGTTTTCGGATTCGATTCGCGGTCCGATTCTTTCGGATCTCTTGGCATCGCCACGAACTACAACTTCTAGTTAGACCTTTCACTGTTAAACTCGTTAGCAATCCAACTAGCAGTTAGAGTACCGGCTGCCGTCTGCCTCCGACGCGCGCCCACCTGGCCAATCGTCTAATTCGAGTATTTACTTCCATGCTAGGCGCGACGTAATTACGTCACTTCGAAAAGGCAACCGCTATCTCTTTGAATCCGTATCGTCATTAGAAACAAGATTTACGCCATTAAGCCGCTATATTCATCCCTTTCGGCAGCGGCTACGCCGCGTATCTCTCAGCCTCTGTTAGCAGTGTCGCGGGAAGAAGTGGAAATTAGAGCGTCTTTGGAGTCTAACGGCTGAGCAACCCCTACAGAGAAACTGTGCTCAGGTAACGCGGGAGCAGATCGAGTAAACGAGGCTAGAATGGTAAGAAGAGAACAGATAGACTCGCATAGAAAGGGGTGAATTCTCAAAGCAGCTTCGGCGGATGCCCGAGAGCGATCAAGACGGGACCTTCTTTCGGATGTTTACGCTGCCGTGCCCGGGGATAATGCGGAAATCCCGCCACCGAAATTGTTATACCCTCTTCCACTATCTCATAACTGATTGCGTTCCGTGGTTCTTTTTGCCCGTCGCTCGTCGATCCCCTCCCATTCGTTAATTACCTCCGACATTATTGCCCTTTTGTTTCATCAATCAAACCTTTTTTTTCTCTCGCAGTCACAGCTAGCTAAAACACACGGTCGCCACTTAATTATTGTAGCCACTCTAATGGCGCGTTGCTTGTATTTTCACCGTGTATCGGCCGCGATCATTCATCCGGAATGGAATAATCATTTCAATTAGCGGTCAATTAACGTGAAAAGTGACCACGATTACCAAAATTTCGGAATTTATTTTATAAATACGCGGAAATCGGTCGAACCAGTGTTTACTAATAAAAATGATCTGATCGCTATCGAGGAATTGTGGGTATTGAAATAAGTGGGAATAGCTTGGAATAAATGGTTATTCGTGGCTGAAACTTCGTTCCGTTTATAAAATCGCGATGTTCATGTGGAAATCCTATGAAATTGATAACACACAAATTTCATTTTTATTATAGAACACAAGCGTACCGAGAAAGTTAACTATATGAATTTCAGTAAAAATGATTTCTATCGAGTGAATATCGGATTTCCTCATTATATTGTAACAGCGCTGAAAATAATTGCATACGTGCGATATCAAATGAAATGCACGGTCGAGTAAACATGTAGGCAATACAAGCGGATACGAGAGTTATTAAAAATAATTGTCGACTAAAAAAAAAATATAAGAGAAATATTAGGTATATTTGTAATTCGATGTTAACCATTCGCTCTCGTGTGGCGGCAATTTTGCGACACCATTGAAGATAAACATTATCATTCCTCTAAATAATTTGTGCGCCAGTTAATTTTGTTATAATTAAAACATTGTTAAAACTATGTATTAAACATGTAAAATTGAGAGGAAGAAATGTTTTGGATTTAGAGTTATAGTAGCTTCGAGTGCAAAAAAAACGGTTAACTTACACGACGATGAAACAATTGTTAAAGTCTACTTTTCAATCAATTTAAATAATTCTACAATATTATTTTGATCCAATGAAACCCTGCACGAACTATTGCTCTACTCTATGGTACCGTGTGTCGTGTAAAATATAGCGTTCAAGGTTCATCCTCGGACAAACGATCAGATATTTTTTAGCAGTTCTTAATTGCTGCGGAACTCCGAAGCTAATCTCTCAACGTTATCTTTCCCGGATCTGCCGTTCGGACCAACCCGCTAATATATTTCCCGATGCTACAACGTAATCACAGAAGTTTCCGATAGGACGTCCTTCGGAAGGCAATTAGGAATCGATTCAGACTCCATATGAGACAGACTCGCAAGGTTCTCTGTCGCGACAACTCGTCGCCTTGCTCAGAGAGACGAAGGTCTCTTTTGTCACGACGACAAACCACTGTAAGCAGGAAAAATCGTTATAAGCGACGCAGTGCTTTCGCTCCGTAGTGTCACGCTTCCAAGTGACCTGGATTCTTCACGAATAGTGGCGAGATATATGGAAAGATTTACCGCCTAGACAGTCTTACTTTTAAAGAGGATTTAATTGATGAACTGTCATAGTTATCATTTCGTTTACAATTTCATAGAAATTTTCCCGCAGAAGCGTAAATCTGAATATTGAACAGATAAAATCAGGTTTTTCCAGCCGGAGCATTTATGAAGAGTGTTTAGAACACTGAAATGATCATCGTTGAAAATTATGGAAATAATACGCATTTTAGAAACGGTTTATTTAACATTTCAATGACGATATAAGATAAACATCGAATAATTTGGAACGGACATTCGGCTGCCAAGAGCAACAGGTGCATTCGTTGTCTAGTTAGGAAAAGGATTGCTCGATCGAAGTGTCGAAAACTTAAAATTGTAAACATTTTATTTTTTACATGAAGGATTCGGAAACGTCTTACAAAATATTTTCATGCAATGTGAGCCATCATAGAATTTCTTTCGAAAGTGAAATTCTAAACACTGCCGCTTTCTTCGTAATATTTTTTCAATAGATACCGACATAAATAAAATTCACCCTTCATGATTCGAGATTTATATGTGGTTATTTTTATATGATTTGAAAACAGCAAATATCAATCTGAAGATATAAATTAGATTAAAAAATCTATAATTATATTTTACGTCTACTTAAATTTAATTATAATTATGATTACTATTAAAAACACATTATAATTCAAGTTTCTATTAAAAATCTATTAAAAAATTTAAATTTCTATTGAAAACATATTACAATTCTATCTAAGAATCATTTACAATTAAAATTTCTATTAAAAAATCTATTACAATTAGGTATTCTATTTAAAATCTATTATTATTTAAATATCTATTAGAGAATCGTCTTTACGTCTACACGAATCTTCATAAATCATAGATTGAAACAAGTTTTGCTATATAATAATTTTAATAAATATAATATCTCGGTTAATAGGTCAACGTTGATGCTGACCACTGCTGTTGAAGCACCGATGAAACTTGTGAAAAGAGAAACTTAAAACTATATTTAAAAAAAAAAAACAAATTGCGTGAAATTAGATTAAATATCGTTAACTCTTTTTTTAAGGAGCAATAAAGCTAAAACATCGACGAAGCGACTCGCCTTGTATTCATTGATTTCACGTTCTTTGTTCCAGTGTGCAATATAACGCTGGACAGCGAGCAGTTAATCAGCAAATCGGGTCGTGGCTTCGGGCAAATAAAGTCGCCGGCACTTGAAGGACCCTCGAGATGTACATACAGATTCGTGCCGGACACTGGTCAGCGTGTTGAGCTACAAATCTATCGATTGATCAACATCGGACGTCATAACGGCACAGCGTAAGTAGCTTTTCCGTTCTACTGTGTGTTACTTCTCCACTTGTGGTCACTCCGAGTCACCGGGCTTCGAGAGAACTATGTATGTGTTCTGAGGTATTTGCCTGTGCCCAGACTATTTAGTTTATTGATCGAGTTGATCGTTCGAAACCACCTGTGCATCGAACTGTAGATTTTGCGGATCCATAAAATGCTTAACCCCTTGTTTAACCATTAACTACTATTGTCCGTTTATGAGACTGTAAATTAATTAATTATTCATCTGTGGTGATAATATAATTGCAAGAAAAATTGTAGGAAAAACAACGTTTTCAATTCGATTTCTTCTGTTCAATCGAACTGTCCAAATTAGACACCATCATTATTATAGTATATAGTCTTTTTCTTTACCATTTTTATGTCAATAATAACGGTCTAATAAATATTAGCGGTCTGTGGGATCGCTGTTGTAATAGTTAAAAATTAATGATGCTCCTAATAGAACGAGACAATATTTATTTCTTGTATGTTTCAATCTACTTTCATTCCTGAATTTTTGTAACAGAAAAATCAATTTGTTTCGATGTAGAACAAATGTAATTTTTAGTAGATCTTACATGAAATGTTTATCACAAGTCTAACTCACTGTTACAGTGCAAATGGTTAACTAAACTCACCATGCCAATGAAAATGAGCGATCTCCTATTTTTTATTTTCAAATTGTTGAAATTATGAATTCCCAATCTTAAGAAACAATCGAATAAATTCCTTTGTTGAAGTTCTATTGTAATAAATAGACTGCGGATTTTATGCATTTATAATACAAAAGCATACATGCAGCAAGATTAAAAGAACTTTGCTTTTTGGAATTAGTGTAGAAAACTTTTACTCATGTTGATTCGCGAGTTAATAATAATTATTTACATATCCGAGAGTTTGTATGAAAATGTTCGCATGAGTTAAATAACAAGCGTATTTAATATTCACCTGAATATGTGAGATAACATGAACAAGTCTAAATATTTCATGCATAATTAACTGCCGCATTATTTCTATAGTATTGCTGTTTAAACACGGTTTATCTTTCAGTCGGTAAATACATCGGCATGCAGATACGCAATTATGAAAGAATGTAATCGAAACGGTGAATCGTCGGAATATTAAAAAATGTCACTTTTACAGAAACATAACTGATCCAACGATGTTTAATTATTGCCGAAGCATCAACATCAATAATCGAACGCACTGATAACGCTCGTATAATGCAGTACTCCATTGGGACATGTTCCTATGTCGAAAGAATTGGATTTGGTCACATTTCAGTTAATTGGCTACAACAATTGAAACATGTAACGGTCAAACGGTATTATGAAACATATCGCTGATACGGCCGCGCATTGATAATTGTTTTGTTATTGTCATACCGCGGCGAGGTTTCAACGTTTCTCGCACATCACTACAAAAGCAGATTCCACATTGATTGGCTGGGGATGCGGTACTAATCAAAAGTGTTTTTAATCACATCTGCCAGACAACTGCTATTTTATTCCATACTTTTAATTGAATTACCTACGCGTTTCCTCGGCCTGAAAATTGTTATTACAATAAATCCGGAGCCGTGATATTTGTTCCGCGGTGTATTTTTCATACGCGGAACGATACATTCTGCGTGTCACTTCAAACGGAAATCGCGGAGCGAAAACAACGGCCACGGTCGGGCTGTTGAAACATCATCATTCCGAAGGGTTCGATTTTATTTAACGAGCAAGCGAGACGAGCAAAATTAATTACTAAATCCAGAGAACGCAAATTATCAATCCTTTAATGAACCGATGTTGTTAACAAATAATACCCGGTACCGGTACGTAACATTTGACACTTCTCTAATAGAAATACTATAATTGGTAAACCGAAAGGATAATATAGAAATTTATCGAAAACAGATTTTCAGTGATCAGGATTTTTATGAGATTAATTAATCTCTCGTGCTATAATAACGAGTCGGGCTCGTTATATAAAGAGATTCATGTATAATCCACTAAATATGAGTGTTATTTGTTTGTTTCAAATCGATACAAAATTTCATCCTGTTTCTGTTGTCAGTGATATTAATACTTTTAGGGATCAAGCTATTAAGAATGAAAAATCATGTAAAGTTTATACTTCCCGTCTTACTCATAGGTTAGGTTCTACTATTGAAGTCACGTCTTTTATTTTTACCTTTCTTAACCTAAAACTGCATAATTATCGGAAATCGATTTATTATATTATTATTATTGTTTCGTATTGTATAAATCCGAGGTGTTACACCTCGAATGCGTTATAATGAATCAATACGTTCATGAATAATTCTTTATCCAAATACCTTTCCGTTGAATATTATATTCGAATAACATACTGAATGTATGCCAAATAATAAATAATTGTTATTCGAATAAAATGTTCGACTATGAAGTATTCATTCGGATGATTATTTTAGATAAATATTTATTCGCATAATGCTCAACTCTGGTATGAACCAAATAATAAAACAGCCCACTCACGATAATGCCATTCAAGGGCTTAAATAGCGATTTCTGAATGATCGTTTAGCACTGAAGGGAAGGTAAGCGAATCGGAGAGCGTGTTTAAGGCTGTCTCTTATACACATCTAGATGTGTATAAGAGACAGGACTGAGCTTTTGGAGTTGCGCGTTTGTCTCTTTTATAGTGGAAGAGAAGAAAGGAATAGATGGATCTTCGTAGGAAAGGATAAAGTTGGGAAAGTCCCGTGCGGGTCGAGGTGTCCAGATGTGAGGAGCTGTCTCTTATACACATCTAGATGTGTATAAGAGACAGGACTGAGCTTTTGGAGTTGCGCGTTTGTCTCTTTTATAGTGGAAGAGAAGAAAGGAATAGATGGATCTTCGTAGGAAAGGATAAAGTTGGGAAAGTCCCGTGCGGGTCGAGGTGTCCAGATGTGAGGAGCTGTCTCTTATACACATCTAGATGTGTATAAGAGACAGGACTGAGCTTTTGGAGTTGCGCGTTTGTCTCTTTTATAGTGGAAGAGAAGAAAGGAATAGATGGATCTTCGTAGGAAAGGATAAAGTTGGGAAAGTCCCGTGCGGGTCGAGGTGTCCAGATGTGAGGAGCTGTCTCTTATACACATCTAGATGTGTATAAGAGACAGGACTGAGCTTTTGGAGTTGCGCGTTTGTCTCTTTTATAGTGGAAGAGAAGAAAGGAATAGATGGATCTTCGTAGGAAAGGATAAAGTTGGGAAAGTCCCGTGCGGGTCGAGGTGTCCAGATGTGAGGAGCTGTCTCTTATACACATCTAGATGTGTATAAGAGACAGGACTGAGCTTTTGGAGTTGCGCGTTTGTCTCTTTTATAGTGGAAGAGAAGAAAGGAATAGATGGATCTTCGTAGGAAAGGATAAAGTTGGGAAAGTCCCGTGCGGGTCGAGGTGTCCAGATGTGAGGAGCTGTCTCTTATACACATCTAGATGTGTATAAGAGACAGGACTGAGCTTTTGGAGTTGCGCGTTTGTCTCTTTTATAGTGGAAGAGAAGAAAGGAATAGATGGATCTTCGTAGGAAAGGATAAAGTTGGGAAAGTCCCGTGCGGGTCGAGGTGTCCAGATGTGAGGAGCTGTCTCTTATACACATCTAGATGTGTATAAGAGACAGGACTGAGCTTTTGGAGTTGCGCGTTTGTCTCTTTTATAGTGGAAGAGAAGAAAGGAATAGATGGATCTTCGTAGGAAAGGATAAAGTTGGGAAAGTCCCGTGCGGGTCGAGGTGTCCAGATGTGAGGAGCTGTCTCTTATACACATCTAGATGTGTATAAGAGACAGGACTGAGCTTTTGGAGTTGCGCGTTTGTCTCTTTTATAGTGGAAGAGAAGAAAGGAATAGATGGATCTTCGTAGGAAAGGATAAAGTTGGGAAAGTCCCGTGCGGGTCGAGGTGTCCAGATGTGAGGAGCTGTCTCTTATACACATCTAGATGTGTATAAGAGACAGGACTGAGCTTTTGGAGTTGCGCGTTTGTCTCTTTTATAGTGGAAGAGAAGAAAGGAATAGATGGATCTTCGTAGGAAAGGATAAAGTTGGGAAAGTCCCGTGCGGGTCGAGGTGTCCAGATGTGAGGAGCTGTCTCTTATACACATCTAGATGTGTATAAGAGACAGGACTGAGCTTTTGGAGTTGCGCGTTTGTCTCTTTTATAGTGGAAGAGAAGAAAGGAATAGATGGATCTTCGTAGGAAAGGATAAAGTTGGGAAAGTCCCGTGCGGGTCGAGGTGTCCAGATGTGAGGAGCTGTCTCTTATACACATCTAGATGTGTATAAGAGACAGGACTGAGCTTTTGGAGTTGCGCGTTTGTCTCTTTTATAGTGGAAGAGAAGAAAGGAATAGATGGATCTTCGTAGGAAAGGATAAAGTTGGGAAAGTCCCGTGCGGGTCGAGGTGTCCAGATGTGAGGAGAATTGTTTTATTAGGGGTGCGTGATTTTTAGGGAATTTCGAGGATTAGGAACGGTGCTTGTTTTATTGCTAGCGGCCGCGCTCAGTTTTAACAATATCGTGCAGCTTAGATATTCATTCATCGAACAGGTCATTCTATTATTTTTCTTTCTATCCCGAATCGAATCCTAGCTGTTGCGTGGCTCGCCATATCGCGTTACTTTACGTGCGATCGCGGACAAGGTCGTTGCACGTGTCCCCGGTTTTCACACTCGAAGGCGAAGTTAAACGGCGGCTTATGGCTGCGGATATGATTGGAGATCGCTTGTGTCGATGGCCGTTTCAATTTGTCATACTTCCGCTTTTACAGGGGCCACCGCCGCCATCGGGGCCACTTAAGTCCTGGCTCTTCAACCTGTGTGTAGATCGGTGGTATGGGACCCGGGCTGGGAAGGTCTCGAAAGAAAAATTACTGTTTCTGGAATCGTCTCCTCGTCCGCCACCCTTCTCGCCTCTGCTCGACCAGGATACCGAACGAAGTTCATAGTGGCTGGGAAAGGCCTTCGACAAGCCTTG